GTTCCTGTGGGATGGAGAAAAGATGAACTCTTAGAGAGAAGATACATGGCGACCGTGGTAACTCCACGGCTCGCACTCCTCCTGCGCAACAACAACACCAACCACAACATCTGGTACCTGGATAGCTGCTGCGGCCAGCACATGATGGGATCTGTCCGATACATCTTGAACATCAGCCGCGCACCTGCCACCTACGTCACCGCTGCCAACAAAGAGCAACTGCACGCAAGCACGCAAGGCATTCTGGTGCTGCAAGCTCGAGATATCAACACGCACATCATGTTCAGTGACGTGCTCTATGTGCCGGATCTTCGTTTTAACTTGCTGTCCGCAGGATAACTCAAAGAATGCGGAGTCATGCTCACTACGGATCCCTACACGCGCGACCTCATCCTCACCTACGCTCCTCGGAAGAGCTCGCTTGCTTGGCGGCGTCTACGTCGTCGACTTTGACATACCAACTGCCAGGCGTCATCAGACGAGCTCGTGGACCTCGTTCCCGTGGCCTTTCCATACATGAACGTGGAGTCATGGCAGCATCCGGACGGCCGACCATGGATCCGCTGCAGTCCTCACCCTTGTGAGATAAATCTGCACCAACCCGGCCCCGACGGGCTCTGCACCACCTGCTTCTCACCCACAGCAAGCCGCACGGAAGAAGTGGAGAGAGATCTTGCGGCAATTCAAGAGTCGGAAAGCGCCGAGGCGGAACCAGAAGGCATGATGGAAATGGAGGTAGCAGTCACCACTCACCGCATTTTCGGGACCGGAGACGAAAAGCTTGGGCTGACGGAGCAGGAGCGACCAACACCACGCACGGAAACTCTCCGCAGGATCCTGGAGGAAGCACACGCCACAACCTTCGACGAGGAGAACCGCGAGGTCTATCGCCACATTGACATGGCGTGGAAAGATCCCGACGCACCAGAAGAGCTCAGCATCAACGAGGAAGAAGAAAAAGCACAGGCTGAGAGGACGGAAAAACTCTATCAGGAACACATCGCGGCAGGCTAGACGAGGAGTCAGCGCGAAACAGTGCATGGGGAGACGACGACGGCACCGGAGCAACATGGGGATCTGCCACTGGCATCTCCGGCACCGTTCAAGGCTGGGGAACTGGCGGATGGGGCGAACCCGAACGACAAGAACTCGCCAAAGGCGACCTTACCCAGGAAGAAATGGATGAAGTAGAGAGGGAGATGGCTGCCGAAAGACCTCCCCCAAGATTCACTGTCCCACTCGGACAACGCCCCTACATTCTTGCGTCACCACCACGCTCTCCTTATTGCTGGGAAGATCCATGGTCGGAGATTGAGGAGGGGAACGTGCCACCAACTCCACCCCGCGACTCGCTTGGACCTATCTCCCACCCAGATCCGTTCGCCCGCTTCATTGAGGGCACCAGAACTCCGCTCAACATCATCCCCGACTGCAACTTCCTTGCTCTCTGCCTCACAACAGCGCCTGCAGAAGGGGAAGCAGCAGCAGAACCAGAAGCAGAGGAGCAGGACAACGAAGCAGAACCAAGAGAAGAAGAGGGACCCATGCTAGACATCTCGCAAGAGACAGAAGCAGAAACATCATAATATCTCGCACGTTATCTGCGCACCATTGAAGTTCGCGCAGAAGATGATCTCAGGCATCAGCGGCTCGGCCACCCCTCAATCCAGACGTTCAACAACTGCCTCCGCGCCAAATTTTTCCTACCAGGAGCACTGCTGCGCCCTGACGGCACGGAACCACTCAGCACCTCCCATCCCACCACTTGCACTGTCTGCCCCACTGCTGCCCTCACACACCAGGCCTACCCCTCACTGGAGCCAAGCACCAATCGCTACAAGAAGCTGCAGAAAGTCTACAGCGACTACATCGTGCTCACCTTCGAAGGCATCAACGGCGAAAACACCACGCTCACCTTCGTGGACGCATACTCCCACTACGTCTGGATTGCCAACGTCGATGTCCGCTCCAAGGCTCCTGAAATCTTTCGCATCTGGCTCGCACACGTGCAACGAGAATCATGAAAGAAGCCGAAGATTTGGCAGACCGATGGCGCCAAGGAACTCCGCAGCCCCGAGTTGGAAGGACTTCTTGCAAAACAGGGGATCAAGCACCAAATCTCTCCCCCCTACGCTCACCAGCAGCAAGGCGTCACAGAGAGGGTCAACCGCACCCTCATGACAAAAGTGCGCGCCCTCATGAACCAGTCCGGCCTACCCAAGAAGTATTGGCTGTACGCCATGAACCACGCCATGCGCCTGCTCAACCTTCTCTCCACCACGGCCAATAGGGCAACATCTCCCCGCACATGAAGTGGACCGGCTCAAGGGGGGACACCTCCATGCTGAGGGTTTGGGGGTGTATGGTGCAGTACCGGCCGACCTCGGCCACCATTGACAACTTCACTCACCGCGCACGCTGGGGAGTCCACCTAGGACTCAGCAATTAGTACAGCGACTTCCTCTTCTACGAGCGACTCACCTTGCAGCAGTGGATCGAGGATCAGCGCAGCAACGTCGCACGCGCCTATGCCAACAACGGCCGCAGTTTTGCATCTCCGGAAGACGACGCAGCAGCAGCAGCACTTGACCGCGACCCCACCGACGAACATCCCGGCGTACCGCCTCGCCCGCGCGACGACGATGACGACGATGACAGCGACGACGCCCCTGCGCCAGGACAATTTCGCCGCCATTCTCCGCCAAGCAGCGCCCACCTGCTCACAAGAGTGACGATGATGACGTGGTGGAAGTCACCACTCAGGAAGCCTAAGGGGCCTCCAACGTCACAGGACTGCAGCTGCTCGGCCTGCACACATCAGTCTCTATCCTCACGCGCGCCGTCGAGCCCAAAAATCCGCGCCAGGCCCTAACTGGCCCCCATACCAAGGAGTGGCGCGCAGCTATGGACGAAGAACTGAAGGCGCTGGAATCACGCGACACGTGGGTCCTAGTCGATCGTGCAGCAGTGAAGGGGAGAAGGATGCTAAGAGGAAAATGTTTTTTTTTTTTTTTTTTTTCTAACGCTGATGGAACCATCGAACACTTCAAAGCACGCTGGGTCGTACGTGGCTACGACCAGCGTCACGGCATCGACTTCGACTAGACCTGCGCCCCCATCAGCCGTCATACCTCTGTGAGAATTCTACTCGCCATCGGGGCTGCTAAGCATCTACCACTACGGCAGATCGACGTCAAGAACGCATTCCTATATGCGTTGGTCGATGCAACAATCTTCGTGGAACAGCCACACACATACGAGGAAGGAGACCCCAGGGTCTGCCAGCTGAAGAAATCTCTCTACGGGATAAAACAGGTGTCGCGTCTCTCGCAACAGCACCTGCACAAGATCCTTCTGGAAATTGGCTTCAGGTAGCTGTCGCACGACCCGGAAATCTACCGCCTTCATGTCAACGGCGATTACATTCTCCTGACAGTCTACGCCGACGACCTGCTGTACACCGGCACCTGCAAGCGACTGCCATGTCAGCAGTACAAGCACTGCTCCGACTTCACGAGAGTAGTCAAGAGAGTCAGCCCTCTGCACGGCCAGGAGTGAAGGGGAGTGTTACGATATGAATTCCAATGAGAAGGCATTCCTGTATGCTGCAGGAGCCGACTCTACCGAGTACTAAGTCGAGGAGTCAGAAGAGTCGAAGCGACACCAGCAACCGTCTGACCAAGACCGATGCAGGCAGGAACATTTGAAGTGAAAAGAGTGGGAACTGGTTTGAAACGGCTTCCCGCGCCGCACGGTTTGAATTCGCTGTAGGGAATGCACTCCTCAGGGTACATGGCTAGTCTAGGTCGTTTCGCATTCCTTTGTATTTCATATATAAACTCAATGTATGCATGCTATTACCATCTCAGTCATTTACATTCATTCTGACCTAAGGTCAACACTTCCGCTGCAACACTACCCTGCGATCAACCCTGAGACGATACTTCGCCTAGTCCCGACTGGGATTGTAACAACCCTTTCGGCCCAGGGATTTTTTGTAGAATGTCTGGTTTTTCCCTGATCACTAAGGATTTATTTCAAGGCAACCTTGTTGCTTCACAGCGTTGTTCCGAGGAGCGAAGTTTACCCTGTACAGACTATAGAGCATCTCGGCCACTACTCTCGGCAAAAATACCTTTCCTTGGAAATATTACCAGACCATACTGGTAATTTGAGAAGAGTGTGGTAGTGGGCTCGATTCCTGTTGACGAGCTTGGGTGTACCTTTGTTTCTCAAATAGTAATCAAAGTCTTGCAAGGAAGTACCATTTTGCCGAAGGATTTTTTTTTTATGTGAAGGAGGAAAACCCCTTACTATAAAGTGTAATGACTGTGGGTCACGCTGCTTTTCAGTGTTTTGAAAAAAACCGGCCCTTATAAACAGGGTTGTAATATTTGAAAAAAAAGGCCTGGTAGATAACCTAAGGTAGTTTGAAAGATTTGTCATACACTCATACTGATGCCCCCAATGTGGTGTAGAACCAAAAGTGAAAAGCCCAAAATATGTCTTAATTATACAGAGTATCAAGCTTAATGTGTTACTGAACTCAAGAATATAGTTTCTTCTATATGCATATATTACACATGAAATTGAGAATTACGGTATATATTGTTTTCCTCTTCTACGGTAATAGTGTCAAATGTTGTTATTAGTTGTAGGCTGCAGTGAGTAGCACTCTAAGGAGTACAACACTCTTAGGGTTCCTATTTGTATGCCTTGCTCTCCTAAGTCAACCATTCCGTTGTGTTCAGATACTAAGATGGTATCGAGTAGGTTTCGTTCCTAGCTCCCCGCCCTAGCTTAGCGCCTACGCGCCCTCCGTTACGCGCCCTCGCGCCCTCCGCGCCTTAGCGCCCTCCGCGCCCTCCGCGCTCTCCGCGCACTACGCGCCCTCCGCGCCCTAGTCGCGCTTAGCTGACGGCTCCACCCCCCCCTCCTAGCCCGTCGCCACGGCCAGCGCCTCCTAGCCCGTCGCCACGGCCAGCGCCCTAGCCCGCGCCCTACCTCGTCGCCACGGCCAGCGCCCTAGCTCGCGCCCTACCCCGTCGCCACGGCCCGCGCCCTAGCTCGCGCCCTACCCCGTCGCCCCGCCCCTTCCCACCGTCACGCCCTCCTACCGCCCGTTCCCACCGTCGAAACCGCCCTCCCCGCCCCTTCCCCACCGTCGCGACCTCCTCCCCGCCCCTTCCCACCGTCGCGACCTCCTCCCCGCCCATTTCCCACCGTCGCGCCCTCCTCCCGCCCGTTCCCACCGTCGAAACAGCCCTCCCCGCCCCTTCCCCACCGTCGCGACCTCCTCCCCCCCCCCTTCCCACCGTCGCGACCTCCTCCTCGCCCATTTCCCACCGTCGCGCCCTCCTCCCGCCCGTTCCCACCGTCGAAACCGCCCTCCCCGCCCCCTTCCCCACCGTCGCGACCTCCTCCCCGCCCCTTCCCACCGTCGCGACCTCCTCCTCGCCCATTTCCCACCGTCGCGCCCTCCTCCCGCCCGTTCCCACCGTCGAAACCGCCCTCCCCGCCCCTTCCCCGCCGTCGCGACCTCCTCCCCGCCCCTTCCCACCGTCGCGACCTCCTCCCCGCCCATTTCCCACCGTCGCGCCCTCCTCCCGCCCGTTCCCACCGTCGAAACCGCCCTCCCCGCCCCCTTCCCAACCGTCGCGACCTCCTCCCCGCCCCTTCCCACCGTCGCGACCTCCTCCCCGCCCATTTCCCACCGCCGCGCCCTCCTCCCGCCCGTTCCCACCGTCGAAACCGCCCTCCCCGCCCCCTTCCCAACCGTCGCGACCTCCTCCCCGCCCCTTCCCACCGTCGCAACCTCCTCCCCGCCCATTTCCCACCGCCGCGCCCTCCTCCCGCCCGTTCCCACCGTCAAAACCGCCCTCCCCGCCCCTTCCCCACCCTTGGCACGCGCCCTAGCCCCACCACCGCCTTGTGCGCGGGGCCCTCTCCAGCTCTACTGACATTGGTCCATCACTCAGCGGCTGGCAGCCGCTTTCTCTCGCCAGCCGCCTAGGTTAGAGCAGTGTAGCCACTAGTACCTCGCCCCTAGCGCTTGTAGCTGGAGATCCACCGTTTCACGCCTAGACTAGGTCGCTCAGTGCTCCTAGCCTCTCGTTTCGCCGTTGTCACACCTCGCCACTCCTGGCGCTCCTAGGATTCCCTCATCGTTCTTAGCTCCGCCTCCACCATGCTCCAGCCGCCTCTAGCATTGCCTTCGTTATGGAGTACCGTCGCCTCCGTTTCGATGCGGAGGGACGCCCGTTAGAGTTCGGTACCTGGCAGCGCCAGACCACGCGCTTCCTCATCAGCCAGCGTCAGGACGGCGCCACACTGTGGGCCCACGCGTCTGGTGCCCTCCAGGCCCCCCCGTCCCCCGCCGCCCTGCCGACCGCCTCGGAGCCGACTCCTACTGCCCAGGCGGAGTACGACCGTCGGGTCCTGGCCCGGGATGTGTGGCTCTCTCGTGACGCTGCTGCCGCTCTCACGCTGACGGAGCTTCTCCCCCGACTGAGGCCGCCCACTTTGACCAGGTGGAGACAGCACAGGGGGTTTGGGATGCTATTGTTGCCCGCTATTCCACCCCTTCCTCTGCCTCCCTCAATCGCCTCCTCATGCCGTTCGTGTTTCCCGACCTAGGCTCGTTTGCGACCTCCGCTCGCTTGACGCCGGTTTCCGTGCGGCCTGTACCGACGCACAGCTTCTTGTTGCTCCCCCCCCCATGTGGCTCACTGTGCACTGGTTAGTCACCCGCCTCCCTGACCACCTTGCCACTGCTCGCGACGCGCTTCTCCAGAAGCACCCCACTGAGCTCACTATCGATCTCCTTGAGACCGCTCTCGGGACGATCAAGAGTAGCCTCCTCACCGTTGCCTCCGCCACTGACGCGGTGGCCCCCCGTCTCTTTGCGGGGTGTGCCGCCCCTCAGCTTCCCACTTTCACTGCTACCCGCGCTTCTACTGCTGTGTCGGTTTCTGGGGACACTGCTGCCGTTTCTGCCGCAGACTGGCAGAAACGGGGCAAGAGTGGCAAGAAGGGCGGGAAGGGGGGAGGTGGAGGCGGTGGAGGCGGCGGTGGAGGTGGCGGTGGAGGGGGGAGCGGGGCTGGCGGCGGCGGCGGCGGCGGTGGTGCACCAGGAGGAGGGGGACTTGGAGGAGGTGCAGGACAGCCAGGCCCACCCACTAGTGGTGGCCCGACCGGTGGGGGTGTTGGCACACAGCAGCAGCAGCCACAGCAGCACCAGCCACAGCAGGGACAGCAGCAGCAGCAGGGACCGCAGCAGCAGCAGGCACTGCAGCAGTTCCAGCAGTGGGGGCCCCCGCTACAGTGGGGTCCGCAGCAGCACTGGGGTCCCCCACCGCAGTGGGGTCCGGGAGGACCAGGGAGCACCGGCCGCAGCAGCAGCACTTCCAGCTGGGCCCCTCGCCCCCCTCGCCGTGACACTGGCCCCTGCACCCACTGGTGCCTCACCGGACCGGCAGCCCCTGTCTCTGTGGTCGCGACGACCACTCTGCCGCGCGGTGCTTCCGCCGCCTCGACGACCTCTACCGTGCTCGTTGGGGCCCTGCGGCGACCACGCCTCGTTGGGTTCGGCTGTTAGCCCGTAAGATTGATGTGTTTGATCTGTCTATGGACGATGCTCGTCAGCATGCTTTGTATGCTGATGTTGACTTTAGTGCTGATGGATCTGTGTGCTCGCGTGTTCGTAGATTAGCTTGCTTGCCTCCTGCTAGTGTAGACTTGTGCCTTTCTAGTCTAGGTGCTTGTGTTGATGCTCCAGGTGCTTGTGTAGCTACTAGGACAGGTGACCCTCCGGCTGAGGCATCCCTGTCTTTCACACTGGACTCGGGCGCGTCTCAGTGCTTCTTCCGCGACCACACGACCCTCACGCCTCTCCTCACTCCTGTTTCGGTGACTCTGGCTGATCCTACCTCAGGACCAGCCGTTGCACGTAGCTCCACTACCCTCCCGTGTCCTGTGGTCCCCTCTGGTGTCCTGAGCGGCCTCCACATCCCCTCGTTCACTCGGAACTTGGTGGGTGTTGGATACCTCCAGGACAGGGGGATCACGGTTACCTTTGTGGGGGGTGGGAGGACTGCGGTCTGTACAGACGCTACCACAGGTGCTGTCCTGTCCACGTTCACCAGGGAGCCCCGCTCCGATCTCTACGTTCTCCACACCGAGCGCTCCCCGGTTGCGTCCGCCCCTCAGGTCGTCGCGTCCCCTCCAGTCCAGGTGTCCAGTCCGGTTGCTGTGTCTAGCCAGGTGGTCGTGTCTGGTCCGGTTGCTGTGTCCAGTCCAGTTGCTGCGTCTTGCTCCTGTCGCTCTCTCACCCACCGCACCGTCTTGTGGCACCACCGCCTTGGTCACCCGTCGATCCCTCGCCTTCGCGGCATGCACAGCCAGGGACTTGTCACAGGTCTCCCACGCAACTTTCCGTGGCTCCCTCCCTCGCTTGCTCCCCCTTGCACTCCTTGCGTCGCCGGTCGCTTACGTGCCTCTCCCCACTCCTCCTCCCTTCGTCCGGCCACTGCTCCCTTCAAGACTCTCCACTTGGACGTCTGGGGCCCTGCCCCGACGCAGGGATCTGGGAGGGAGCGTTTCTTTCTAGTGGTTGTCGACGACTACTCTAGGTACACCACAGTGTTCCCTCTCGCGAAGAAGTCCGAGGTGACTGCTACGCTGATCCGGTGGCTCTTGGCTACTGAGGGCACTCGTGGTCGTCGTGTCAGTTGTCTCCACTCCGACCGTGGGGGCGAGTTTCGCTCCGGCATTCTTGGCGGATTCTGCGGCGAACAGGGCATCACACAGTCCTGGACGCTTCCGGAGTCCCCACAGCAAAATGGGGTAGCTGAGCGCCGCATTGGCTTGGTCGTGGACATTGCCCGCACGTCCATGATCCATGCCCGTGCGCCCCATTTTCTGTGGCCCTACGCGGTTCGCTACGCCGCACACCAGCTGAACCTCCAGCCGCGTGTCTCGCGGCCCGAGGCTTCACCGACCAGTCTTTGGACCGGGTCCCCTGGTGTTGGGTCGGCCTTTCGTGTCTGGGGCTGCCTTGCGCTTGTTCGCGACACCTCCGCGGACAAGCTCTCGGCACGTGCCGTCCCCTGTGTCTTCCTTGGTTTCCCGGTGGACTCTGCCGACTGGTCCTTTTACCACCCTCCCCTCCACCAGTTCCTAGACTCCCGTGACGTCCGGTTCAACGAGTCAGTGTCCTACTACACCCGGTACCCCTGTCGAGGTCTCCCGGTACCCCCTCCCCCCCTTTTCCTCGCACCCTCTCCTCCTCCTGCTCCTGCTCCTCCGGTACCCCCGCCCCCCCCTGGTCCTGCCCCGTCTGGTGTGTCCCACGCTACCCCTCTTCCCTCGGTCGCGCGCCAGGTAGCGTCTCCCTCCCCGCAGTCCTCCTCCCAGTCCCCTCAGCAGCCCTCGGCACTTCCGCGACAGGTGGTTGTGGACTCTGGGGTCGTTGGCGTTGGGGGTGCTGCCACTGGAGGTGCTCGGTCTGGGGGTGCTCGTTCGCAGGGTGCTGGAGCTGGAGGTGCTGGCACTGGGGGTGCTAGTTCTGGGGGTGCTGGAGTTGGAGGCGCTGGTGCTGGAGGCACTGACGCTGGAGGTGCTGGTTCTGGGGGTGCTGGCTCTGGGGGTGCTGGTTCTGAGCAGACTGGAGCTGGAGACCCTGGCTCTGCGGAGTCCACTCCGCCTCCCCACCGCCACGACACGCGTCTCCAGGCTGCCCGTCGGCGAGAGCGTGAGGAGCAGGAGCGGTTGGAGAGGGAGCGGCAGGAGCTGCGGGTGCTGGACCTGCTGGAGCAGCAGCAGCAGAAGCAGCAGCAGCAGCAGCAGCAGCAGCAGCCGCAGCAGCAGCAGCCGTCGCAGCCGCAGCAGCCGCAGCTGCCACCGCAGCTTCCTCTAGAGCGGCAGTTGTTCTCACCTGTGAGTGGCCTGCGGGCCCTTGGCCTTTCCTCCTCTCCTTTTGTCCACTCCCAGTCTCCTCCTGTGTTTGGTCCTACGTTTCCTCCTCCTGACGACCGTCCGGCGGTCTGGTCTTCTTCTCCTCCTCAGTCTCCTCCTCCTGAGGCCCGTCACGTCTGGACCACTCGTTGTCCTCCGCGTGCTCGTCACTCGTCCCCTGTTCCCGACCTCCGCACTGCCCTCCTTTGTTCATCTCTTCGTCGTTCTCCTCCTGAGTCCGTTCTCCCGTCTCCTCCTCCGTCCTCTCTTCCCGCCCTCCCCACTCCTATCTCTGACTACTACCGTGTTGTTCGTCCTGTTGTCTCCAGTGTCCTCGCCACTCTTGTCACCGACTCTCGTTTCCTGCCGTCGTCTGTCTCGGCCCTCACTGTCGCTGTTACTGAGTTTGCTGCCGCCAGCCGCCTTGACTACGCCACCAGTGTGGTGCCAGGTCCTCCCTACCGTCCTCTGTCCGTCGGGGGTGAGTTTGCCCTTGGCTGTGACGTCCTAGAGGACAGAGAGTCTGAGTTGGAGTACTGGGCAGCCGCTTCTCCCTCTGTTTGTGCCATGCTGCTTTCCCCTGAGGGAGACCCCGACGCCCTTGACATACCGACTCCTTGCACTTACCGCGAGGCAGTGTCAGGGGCGTGGGCCTCTCAGTGGAAAGCGGCTATGGACTCAGAGTTGGCGTCTTGGAGATCCACAGGCACCTACGTCGACGCAGTTCCCCCTCCCAGGGCGAACGTAGTCGAGGCATGTGGCTCTTCAAGGTGAAGCGGCCGCCTGGAGTACCGCCGGTGTTCAAGGCGCGCTACGTGGCTAGGGGCTTCAATCAGCGTGAGGGAGTTGACTTCTTCCAGACCTTTGCCCCGACCCCGAAGATGACTACTCTTCGGGTGTTACTCCACATAGCAGCGCAGCGAGACTACGAGCTGCACTCCCTCGACTTCTCCACTGCGTTTCTCCAGGGCCAGCTACACGAGGAGATCTGGCTGCGACGTCCTCCTGGCTTCACTG